GGTTTAGGGTGCAGGGCTTAGGGACTTCGGGTTTTAGGGTTTTTGGGCTTTAGGTTTTAGGGTTTCAACTGAAGTGACGAGGGGATTGCTGTACAGAGACGATGGCGCCGGCTTCTGTATCACGCTGCGCTCATGCCAGGGAGACAAAGGTGAATCCGGTCTCATCTCCTACACAACATCTTGGCCTCTGCGGAGGACAGGTCCTGCCACATCTGAAGCTGATTCATTGCCTAAGTCGCCCCAGCCATCATCGTGTGAAGACTGTACAACCTGTGAAGTGACAGGCTGAGTTGCGCGAGAACATACAGGTCTCACCCAAAGCAACAACCTAGTGGCCCTAAAAAGACAACATAAACACAAGGATCTCACAACTGGCTCAGAGTTTCTGAAGTCCAGGTTGCAGGGGCACGTATACCCCAAATACAGGATCCTCGTGTTAATTGGCTGTTTGGGGCCTCATCACGCTCTTAGCGGTAGCCCTGCCCAACTTCCACACCAAGCTCCACCATCGCCTCATGGACCGTCACGTGTGGGGCCTGCACGATAAGGGGGTTTCCGAAAATAGGGGACCCTAATACAATACCATAAATAGTAGGATCCTTATTATAAGGACCCCAAAATAAGGTACCCCTTATTTTCGGAAACTCCCATAACGGCAACTCTAGGGGTGGGCTCTTGTTGGATCGGATGTTGTCCTGAGAAGCCGCTGGCCTTCTGAGATTGGCGATGAATGAATGTAACGGCCACAATAATTCTAACAGGGTTGTGTGGCACATTGTACTATCTGCAGATATATGTATGTATACTAAGGAAACCCCCCAAAAAATAGTAGTGGCAAATATTTAGGCCCTTATACTAGGGCCCTAGACCCTAAACTTCAACCCCCAAAGCCAGCCCAGCCTAAACCCTAAACCCTAAAAGGCAGCCTGGCCCTGCCACAAGCTTTACTTCACTTCCCAATTTCAACCCCCCGAGCCCTAAACCCTCAACCCTTTTACATCTGGGCTGCGCCCTAAACCCTAGAGGTCTTGGGGGGGTGTAGGGGAGTTTAGGGTTTAGAGGTCTGGGGTTTAGGGGCTTAGGGGTTCAGCAGTTTAGGGTTTGAAGGGTTTAGGTTTTAGGGTTTAGGGTTGAGGGTTTAGGGTTTAAGGGCCAGGGGTTTATAGGGTTTAGGGTTTTCGGCGCTCACGCTCGGACCAATCCAGTCGAGGCAGGTGGTTCGAGGGCTGCTGCCCAGAAGCGAAACTGCGCGAGTTCAAGACCCCCTAAACCCTAACCCTAAACCCTAAACCCTGTCGCAACAACAAGGTTCAAACATAGTACAGGCCTGCTAAGTTGCGGGTCTTCTGCTCGCTGGAATCTCAGAGCTCATATTTCAACTGCTTTTGGACTTCGGTTTCGGTGCTCACACTCGGACAATCCAGGCGAGGCCTGAGGTTCGAGTCTGCAATGTGAAACAATAGGGTTTTAGGGTTTAGGGCCCCTTAACCCTAAACCCAACACCGTTAGTAAGCCTCCCTTAGTCATAACCTGGCTCGAAAGCGTAGGCCCACTCAGTGAGTCATGACGATGGGTAATATAGGGGCCTCAATGATGTTAACAGGGTTTCGGGGTTTATTCTACTATAGGTATAATAAGGAACCCCCCCACAGAAAAGAGTATAGGTAATTAGTCAGGCCCCTACATTACTTCTCCAATTAGGGTCCCCTTTCAAGTCCCCCAAAAGAAAACGGCACCCTAAAAGAAACGGACCCTACAAGGGGACCCGAATTTAGAGAACTACCTACTTAGCGTTTTGGCTTCTCCTATGGCGTTCCTTATAAGTCAGCGCACGAAAGTCATTGGTGAACGAATGTACCGTTTAGGGTTTGGGGATTTAGGTTATGTCTTCTTCTCTCTTTTCTAGTCATCAGTTCCGAGGAATGCCGTCTTGTTTTTACTGCTTGGGGTATAGGGTTGGCTGCAGTTTGTAGGGCTGTTCCTTCGGGAGTAGTTGCCCAGGTGATCGCAAGGCCTATGTGCTTCTGTCGAGTTTAGGATTGAGGGTCAGAGGCCCCTGTAAGCGCGTTTTTCTTACCTGGGTCGGCCGTTAAACCCTCTGAAAAATATCTATATAGAGGGTCCCTTATAAACCCAAATAAGGAAGAACACAACATGTCCCAAAAACCAACCTAGTTACCAGTGTTTCACCGTGTTTGCTCAATCCAAGGGCCTTCCTAGTGCATCTCAATGTCGAGAGAACGGAAATCAAGTAACCAAGACGGCATGTCTGAGGGGTTTACGGTTTAGGTTAGGGTTGCCATCCATTTCATGCATGTCCTAAGTTATGTAATGGCGCAACCGAAGTACTCCGTGATCGAACTACCAACTGGTTGACGTATGCCCTTTAGCCCTTTGTGCGAGCACCTCCTGTTACACAAATCGTTCCCTCAGGTGGGGATGAAGCTAGCTTACACGAAGCTATTTCCGGCTTTCCCAGTTGATACTTCCTGGTACCCCTAAACCCAAAACCCTGCCTGCTGCACCGACCGCCCCATGGGGAGGATCAGCTGGCAGGCCTCGTTCCTGAGTCAACACCGGACTCCCGATTGAAGGTTTCATAGTAGTGTAGGGGCCTTACTAATTAGAATAGGCTTTTGGGGCCCATTATACTGTAGTTATAATAAGGAACTCCCAAAGTAGTATAGGTAATCATTTAGGCTTCTATATTAGAATAGTTCAGGGGCCCAGCCACCTACTTTAGAGGTGCTGGAGTGGCAGCTGTTTCTACGCAGCAGATCTGAAACTGCCCTAAACCCTAAACCCTTAACCCTTAACCCTTAACCCTTAACCCTAAACCCTAAACCCTAAACCCTAAACCCTTAACCCTAAACCCTAAACCCTTAACCCTAAACCCAACTTGCACAGCTTGGCAGATGCACGCGGTCGCGTGATACCGGCCGCGAAGTCCCCGGTATTGAGGATGTCGGGCTCGCTACCCATAGGCCCCATAGTAGTTCTTTTTTGGGATTACCTTGTAGGATTCTAAATATGGGATTCTAAATATGAACCCCAAAGAGGAACTACTATGGGGCCTATGGGTAATATCTACGTACAATCTACAACGGGTGCCTGCAAGATCAAAACATTTCAGGCGTAGACCTGACATTACTTGGAGAATCATGGGACTTAGTAAGTAAGGCTATAAGTCCCTTAATTGGGGGGGGGGGGGTTATAAGTAAATATAAGTATAGTTGCCTGAATTATAACCCTACTTACTAAGTCCCATGATCCTTTAAGTGTAACCTAAAGATACTGCGCGGTACTATTAAGCACATCCTACAGGCTCACCTGAATCCTCGAGACGGCAACAAGTGAATGCATCAAACCAAGGGACGAAACCCCGACGCGAAAATCAAAGGCGCAAAAACCTGAGCTGTAAGCCACGGTCACCGGGGACCAGAACGCACAAGCCTTTCGGTATCTTAAGGTTTCACTCCGGCCAAAGCCCCGAAAACACCTCTGACATGCCACAAGTCTCCAAACCTGCAACTTCGGTCAATGCAATTCTGCTGACGCGTACAATGCTGAATCGCTCAAAAAGCCAGCGTAGGACCCTTAAGGGGCTTAGGGTTTGGGGTGAATGCTGCTCAGAGGATCAACTGCAGGTCTGCCAAGGCTTGCAAAGCACGCATGGTGCAGCTGGCCTTGCTAAGCGATAGATCATGCCACTCGCTTCGGGCAAGGCAGGGTCGACATCTACAGGTCCCAGCTGGAACCTTTTTTTTCCGACTTTTCAACTGGGTTGGCCTTTAAACCCTCTGAAAAATATTTGTAGAAAGGGTCCCTTAGAAACCCAAATAAGGAAAATGAAAAATGTCCCCAAAACCAACCTAGTCAAAGGATGAACAACTTTTCGGGCCTCATGTCCCGCCTTCAGGAAAGGAGAAGTCGGCAGAAGGCCCCTCAAAGGCCCCGAACCCGTGCACAGTTCTACGCAGCGCTCAGGCTCCGGCTTAGGTTTGGGGGTTTGCGGGTTTTGGCTCGGTTTCATGTAGGGGCCTTAATAACTAGACTAGGGTTTTGGGTATACTATACTAGAGTTAAAATAAGGCACCCCCAAAACAGTGTTCTAATTATTTAGGCTTCTACATCAGGGTTTGGGCTGCGGCCTGCGCACCCAAAGGATCGGACTCCAAACGCATCCCTGGGCCCCATCAGCCTCAACACCCCCAAAACATCCAATAATTTCCACGGCAAGCCTAAATCCCAAGCCGCCCAGAAATCCTTCCCAATCTTTGCCTCGTTGTTCAATCCCATGACACCTGGAACCACAACACAAGTACCCTAAACATTACATCCTCGACTCCTCCCCCTTCCACCGTCGTCTGTCCTCTTCTCCGTATACCCAGGAACCCAAGACTGACCGCAAATTTCATTCCCCAGCCCTCCGGGAACGAATGAAATGGGTGGAAGCTGCACGTCTTCTCTTGACCCCAAACTAGGGTTCATGGGATTTAGGGTGTAGGGTACCCTAAACCCCACGCCGAATGTCACGCTGCCCCCGAGGACTCGGACATCCCCTACAAGCGCCCCTTTAAACCCATGGTCTCCCCCCATAGCCCCGACTGTCTTAAAGGAAGCCTCAAAGAGATCCCGTAAAGGAACAGAATTATGGTACCCTACTATGGCACCGTTTACAGGAGCCCTTGGGATCTGCCTCGACATCCAGCTCTGTGATGGGGTCTCCCGACACGCTCATTAACCTTGGGACTAGTAGGCTTGCGCTTGCCCATGCCATTCTTGACGGCCTTCTCCGTGATTTGATATGCGTGCTGCTTTTGCAGGTCAGGGTTCATCCTAAACCCTTTTTACACCTGGGCCCTGCCCTTTCTTGCAGCCTCCCTGCCCTGACTCATGAAGCCCCTAACCCGAGATGCCCGAGTCGCTAAAACCGGTCTTATTATGAAACCTGAACGAGACATGAATACGTCTGTCGGTATGTGTGTATGTGTACATATATATATATATATATACACGCACAAGTATTATTACATACATATGTATGTATAAGCATGTATGTATGTATGTATGTATGTATGTATGTATGTATGTATGTAGGTAGGTAGGTATGTAGGTATGTATGTATATATATATATATATACAGATATATGCATAGAGATGTAGCTCGTATCGGGGTGGGTTTCTATTGCTAGCCTCCCCCAGATGATGCAACGAAACACATAGCCACAAATAGCCCGCCGGCGCCTACATAAACGCGTCACCAACGCCCCTGACAGCCCCACGCCCCGGCCTGCACGATCCTTTGACTGACCTCTACAGCAGCCTAATGGAAGGGCCTAAATAATTCCCAATACCATTTTGGGGGGCTCCTCATAAAATATAGTATAATGAGCCCCAAAACCCTATCCTAATTATAAAGGCCCCTATATTACATCTTGTAGGAGCCCCCAGACCTAGACCTTCTCGTTTGGATGCTGGTAATGCTTGTCAAAACAACGTAGCCTGGGTCTGGTAGCTTGCGGAAGCCTCCTGCAAGCCTAGACCCAAAAAACCCTGCACTCCAGTAAGCCACCCGGAGACCTTCAACCATAAACCT